TGCAAATCCCAGCTGAAACCGCCATTCCTTCACCTCCAAAAAAAAAATGGCAGCCATCATTTCAACCCACTCGACAGCCCCTATTTCCAACCCAAAACCATACCCAACAACCACAAAAACCAATAAAATAGAAAAAACCCATAGACTTACCTCATACCTGAACCCTCCAAGCATCATAGCCTCCAATCCGTGAGCCAAAACCCAGCTACCTCTACCATACACAGGTGCCACCAAGCGACGGTGGCACTGACACCGGCCGTCCGGTCGGTGGTCGGATTGGCGGAAGGGGGCAGAGCCCCTTCCCATCGCGGACTCTCTCTTCTCTCGGTCGAAATGAGAGAGAAAGGAAGTGAGAAATGATTTTTTTTTTGTTATAATTTGATTTTAGAAATTGCCCCCTAGCCCCCAAGTTTTAAATTATTATTTTCAGTCCCCAGAGCTTCTGTTTTAAAAAAAACAGCCCCTAAAGTTTCTGATTTCTCACAGTTAGTCCCTGATTTCTACAAAAGTTTATTTCAGTCATCAAAAGTTCAATTTCAATTTCTTAAACTTCCAATTAAGCCCCTGAACTTTATTTTTTATCATTTTAAGTTATTATTTCAGTCCCAAAGTTTCAGTAATTAGTGAATTAGTCCCTGGAATTCTTNAAAGTTTATTTCAGTCATCAAAAGTTCAATTTCAATTTCTTAAACTTCCAATTAAGCCCCTGAACTTTATTTATATCATTTTAAGTTATTTATTACAATCTCAAAGTTTCAATAATTAGTAAATCAGTTCCTAGAGTCCATATTTCCCTTATTTAGTCCCATTACTTTGAAAATGTTGTTTTCAGCCCATAGATTTGTCAAATTCAGTTTTAATAAATATCCAATTAGGTCCCCTAAACTTTATTTTATCGTTTTAAAACTTTGAATTTCGGAATACTAATTCAAAACATATTTTCTATTTTTGGTTAGATGAAACGTACGGACGATTAGGAGATTGAGGTCTCCTCCACTTTTTACGAGATTCGAGATAATTTGAGGTAGACTCGCCCCCGTTAATTAGTTTAAATTATAATTGCATATATTATGTGAATTTACGTGATTTATATGCTTTGTTGCATGAGATGAGAATATGTCATATGATATATATAATGTCGTTATGCTTGTCATAACTTACATGCTTTAATGCATGAGAAGAGACGAGTATCTCTTATAAGATAAAATGAGAATGTTATGCATAACTTATGTGCTTAAATGCATGAGACGAGACTACGCACACCTTATGATTTTAAAGAGCCAATGATTCTCAAGAAAATAAGCCAACGATGATGATGATGATGTCACTGTATATTTTGCATAATTATGTATTCAATTATTCTATAAATTAATTATCAGCGAAGAGTCTACTGAGCATTTCTTCGAAATACTCATTCCGTTATTTTAACGACATTTGTAAATTTTGAAGACGGTTGGGTTTGATGGGTAGTGGTGGCAACGATTTAATGGATGAAGTT